TTTTTTTTTTTTTTTTTTTTTTTTTTTTTTTTTTTTTTTTGTAGGCAAGATGGTCTACTCTGCCCTTGATGTCAGATCAATTGTCAGTAAAGAAAATCTCTAGCCTGTGATCTTTGTTCAAAGAATACCCATCTCTGTAGTTGTGGAGCAAATGCGAGTTAGTGTAAAATTGTGCAGCCTTTTCCTGTCTGAAATAGCTGGGGGCTTTCAAAAAATACCGTGGAGGCAGAGAAGGGGTGCTCTTGTGTATTTAACTGCACCATGGTGTGCACACATCACACACACACACACACACACACACACACACACGCACGCACGCTCTTGCTTTCCTATTGGTGAGATCATCTTTATTTTCGAAGTCAAACGCTGCCACCTGGGATCACAGTACCAACTCATTCTCAGTGTTTCTGAGTGCTGTGAACCACCAGGAAAAGAATAAAAACTGGGAAGAGATTAAGGATTTTGGAGGTCTGACTTTTCTTTCTCAGTCTGGAGGTGCAGAGACCCGATGGCTCTTGTGACATTCAGTGCCCCTGGTAGCTAAGTGTTCTCTGAGAATTTGTCTCGAGTGATGCAAAGATTCTTGAGGGCTTTTGGGCTGGAAGATACCCTGGGAAGGCGGGGGGTCCCTACGCATGGTCAGAACAGTCAGAACTCATGAGTCATGGGACCCAAGCAGTGTAGGAAGACTAGAATGGAGTCATCCATGCTTATGAGTCATCCCGTGTGAACTCCTTCAGGAAATATTTGCTACAGGCAAATTCTCGGCTCAGTGGGTAAAGACTTGCTGTCAAATCTGATGACCTGAGTTCAAATCCCAGAACCACATGGTGGAAGGCGAGAACTGACTCCTGGAAATTGTCCTTTAACCTTCACAGGTGTCAGGTGCACTGAGGTGTGTAGCCACTAAGCAGTCAATCAATCAATCAATCAATCAATCAATCAATATTGATTTAAAAAATATGACAGTCTGAGGGGTGCATTATTATGAGATCTAACCTGTATTGTTGGAGGACAGACTAGCACTCAGTCTGTGAATGTAATAACACTCCAAGCGTAGTGTGAGCCAATCAAAGACACTCATAGGTTGAGCCATTGCTGTCTCAGCTGCTGTCCCACATCCCGGAAGTGAGATGTGGTTCCTCTCAAGCAGCATCTAGTAGTTCGAAATCTCACTGCTCAGTGGCCTGTCTTGCGGGGAAGACGTTCACCAGGTGCCCCAGCAAGTTGATCCCATCTGACCTGTTGCTTAGTCTCTTTCCTATCTTGTTTTCCGCCTGGCTTTCATTGGTTTGATCCCCTCTTCCCTTCGCAGGGGAAAACCTGGGATTCTGGGAAGCCTGTGAAGACCTGAAGTATGGGGATCAGTCCAAGGTCAAGGAGAAAGCAGAGGAGATTTACAAGTGAGGACTGGCCAAATCTAGGGGAAAATGGGGTGGGGACGGAATGGGGAGGTCCCACACCCTGGTGGCTGGCTGGGCTCTGGCCAGAGCCAGTCACTGACCTGTCCTGCGTTTTTAGGAGGTTTAGGGGTTCCTCTGAAAATAGCCAAGTGTGATGGATGCTGGGATTCTCCTACTCCCATGGGGTTACAAAAAACAAACTGCCCTGAATCACAGTGCAAAATTGTTTGTCTAAACTTCCCTAGGTCGTGTGAGAGCGAGGGGGAGGGGGAGAAGGAAAGGGGAGAGGGAGAGAGAGGGGGAAGGATGAGGGGAGGGAGAGAGGAAGAAGGAGGAAGAAGAGGAGGAGAATCTACTTGTAGGATACAAGCTATCTTAGAGACAATGGGTTCGCCCATGTGTCGGGGACAGTAAACACAGTGTGGACAAATCTCTTATTTTCCACTCCATGACTCTAGCCTGCCCTTCTTCCAAATCACCCCAGAAGTAAGGGTGGTTCACATAGCAGACCCAAGGCAGGGAGTGGAGGGGAGGTTGTGGAGAACTACAGTCCTGCCCTCCTCCCTCCGCCTGTGTTGTCCTTGTCCTGCTGTGGTCACTTCACTAATAGTCCCACCAGTCTAGGACTCTGAGGCGCCAGAGTTTTTAGTTCCTACTCCCATGCCATGCTATGGTTCTCCAGGCCACACCCAATGGAGTGGGAACCAGCCCTTGGAAGCCCCAGCCTTGGCTGCTGAGCCTTAGGCAGCAGGCTAGCCCTCCCCTTTCCCCCAAGGACCCAGCCTTTGTTCCCTCACTGTTGTTCTCACTGAGTCTGGACCATCTAAGTTTTCAGAGAGGAATGAACAACATTTCAGGGAAGAGCTGAGACCTCAAAGGCTCCTGTGCCTTCCGATTCGCCATTCTCACCTAGAGAGATGGGCCCTGAGGGAAGTGACATGGGGCTGCGATGGGGGCTCATGGCAGCCTTCCCTAGAACAGCAGGCACTTGCCTTATTCATGATACCTGCACAGCTCCAACGAAAGTCTGATGCAAGGAGACCTGGGGTCTCAGGGATCCATCAGCTCCCACCTCCCAGGCGTACTTAGGAAAATATTAATTTGAATTCCAAATTTTGAGCATACATCTTAGGAGTGAGGTGGGGTGGGGGACACCATGAGAGTGTTTCTAACCTGTAGCAACTCAGAACTGGAAGTCTTAGGAGAATGCCCTGTGCTTCTCGCTAGAGCCACAGGACTCTGTGCAGCCAACTTAGAGGTCACTGGCCTAGAAGCTGAGGTAGACATACGTTGGGTGCTAGAATTAAGGCTCACCTCCCTCACTACTCAGCATTAGAGATTCATCACCACACTCATCTAGACTAGGCAAAGAAAGCAGAGGTTCCCAGAATACCAATTCGGAAGTGTCTTTGCCTGGTTTCAGGTTGGCCATGGAATAAGGACAGGTAAGGAGGAGGAGGGTTAAGACGGAGGTGAATTTGTTTTAAAAAAAACTTTATTTTAAATTATATGTATATGTTGCATGTGAGTGTAATGCCTGTGGAGTCCAGAAGAGGGTGTTGGATTCCCTGGAGCTGGAATGATGGGCGGTTATGAGCCATCTGACATAGGTCCTGGGAACTGAACTCCAGTCCCTTGCAAGAACAAATGCTCTTAACTACTAAGCCATCTCTCCAGTCTCTGGGAGGTGAATTCTTCACCCTCATTGCAAAGGCCTCATCCACTTGGATCCACCCCACCCACTTCTCTCTCCTAGAGCTGGAACATCAAGGTTGAACACTCCATTCCCAAGACTGTCAAGGTCATGTTCTTGCTTTTAGGGAAAGTTGTTTACCAACCTCTTCAAAGCTCAGACCCTTCAGGGTCTCCAAATCAACCTGGGCCTGTCATGTGTTCTCCTCCCCGCATCTCCTGTGCACTTGATTTAGCTGCTTTAATTGACATTTTCCTCCTTCTCCAGGCTGTTCCTGGCACCAGGCGCGAGGCGGTGGATCAACATAGATGGCAAAACCATGGATATCACAGTAAAGGGGCTGAGACACCCCCACCGCTATGTGCTGGACGCAGCACAGACACACATTTACATGCTCATGAAGAAGGTAAGTGGGTCTGTGCCAAAGATGCTCAGGGGCCAGACAGCCCTCTCCCCAGCTGCCTGGGAAGTTCCTTAGCTATGGGGAAAGGGGATGACATGTGGATACTGCTTTGCTGGTAGAGTGATACACAACAACCCACTCTGTCTTCTCTCCTTGTCCTCTGGGCTAGACCCTCCTTCAGCCCCCAGGCCTTCTGACCTTGGAGGGGACCCGTGGAAGCTGTTTGCATCTTCTGGGCTCCTGGCTCTGCGGAGATGACACAGGCAGTACTAAGTAATGACTGTCATTTATTGAAGGCTTGTGAGATGCAGTCTCTGTGTAGAGTGTTGCATTTTGTTCTCACGAACATCCCGTGTTAGGCCTGTTTCCTCCAGAGGTCTCAGTAGTGATGGAGATGAGGTTCCAGCTCCTTCTCTGTAAAATCCTGAGGCTGAGCTCTGGGTCTCTGCTATGAGGGGTCACAGTGCTCATGGTCCTGGGCAAACATAACCATAGATGATTTAGTGTCTAAGGAGACAAATTCGGTGTGATTGCAGCAAAACCCTGTGAGAATTCAGATAGCCTTCTGGATGATCAGTGAACTGGGAACATGGTAAGAACATCAAAAGGATAAGTAAGAATGAAATAAAGAGAGCCTGGGAGAAAATTGCTTTCTTAAGACGTTCTCTTTTTCAAACTTTACATTTACCTACTTACAGGAAGAACTTGTATTTATTATTTATTTTTATTTTATGTGTATAGGTGTTTTGCCTGCATGTATATAAGTGAACCTGTGCAGTCAATGCCCACGAAGGCCAGAACAAGTTGTCAGATCCCTTAGAATTGGAGAACATTTTTAGCTACCATATGGGTACTGAGAACTAAACCTAGGCCCTCTGCAAGAGCAGCCAGTGCTCTTAACCAGTGAGCCATCTCTCATTCTTGTGCCATAGCACATGCGACTAAACACACAAATTTTTCTTTTTGTGTATTTAGTCACATGTGCTATGGCACAAGGATGCAGGTCAGAGGACAGCTTTCTGGAGTCGGTTGTCTCTTTCCATCATGAGGGAACTTGGTATGGCAGCAAGCACCTTTACCCACTGAGCCATCTCCCTAGCCTCAAGGAATTCAAGAAATGCTAAGACGGCTTTCTTCTAGTCCTTTGACACCTCATTGTGGTAATTATTTATGGCAGAGTGCTCCAGCAACTTTGCTATATGATGTAAGTTGGTAAGAATGGTAAATATGGGGCTAGAGAGATGGCTCAGTGGTTAAGAGCACTAGCTACTCTTACAGAGGACCCCGGGCTCTATTCCCAGCACCTACATGATGGCTAAGAACCATTCCTAAGTCCAGTTCCAGGGGATCCAACACCCTCTTCTGACCTTGATGGGCACTGTAGGACATGGGTTCACTTACACACATGCAGGCAATACACTTATACACATAAAAAATAATGAATAGAATATTTTTTTAAAAAGATTGGGATATGTTCATTACTTCTTTTTTCCTATTTATTCTTTCTGTACTATAAAGTTACATATTTTCTTTAAGATCATGTGATCCTCTAGAACTTTTAGCAAGCTATCTTAGCCATTTTCCACTCTTTTTCCCATTAGTGGGTTTCTCTATGTTTTTCTTATTCAAAGATCTACAGTAGGGTTTCTCCTTAAGGGTCCTCCTTAAAATGTTTTAAAAAGTCCTTTGACTCTTTAAAATATCATTTTCAGAGGATGTGGAGATGGCTCCTCGGGCAAAGCATTTGCTGTGCAAGCATGAAGACCTGAGTTTAGATCCCTAGCACTATTAAAAAGCTGGGTGTGGTGGCATAAGCTTGTAATCCCAGCACTGAGAGACGGACAGGATGATCCCAGAGGCTTGCTGGCCAGGCAATCCAGTCAAAATGGCAAGCTCCAGGTTCAGTGAGAGACCTTCTCTCAAAACTAAGATGGGGACTGGCTGAGGGAGACACTCATTGACCTCTGACCTCACATGATCATGCATGGAAACGCACCCCCCCACATGTATACACACCACACACACACACACACACACACACACACAAATATAGTTTATTATAGTTTACATATAGCCTTTCAAGAGCTACCTAGGGAAACCAGCCACTAGCCAGGACAGGGAAGAGGCACGGGTAATTTGCTGAAAGAATAATGCATATGCTTATGGATTCTGTGTCGCTGTAGTGACAAGTTCAACATGACTTGTGGCTTTATTATTACTACTCTAAGATTCATCTTATTTCTAATATTTATTGATATTGGCACCTAGTCTTTAGAATCTAATAATTTTCTGAGGCTGATCTCACTTGGGTTGCTGTGGTTGGCTTTATCCCATATTAGTTGTGGCTCACAACTCCAAGGAGGATTTTAGTGTAGGGGGTTATGAATTGTGGTATAAAGATTCAGGGCGGTTGCTCTGCCCTTGGAGTTCATGATTAGGTAGGGCTGGGGTGGGCCCTAGAATGTGCATTGCTGAGTATTCTGGGAGAACTTGATCTGCTCATTCTGGGGCCCATCCCTGAGAACCGCTCCCTCGACACCTCCCTAAACACCTCCCACTCAAGGAAGCAGATTCCCTTAACTTTTTGGTTCTACCTGGAAAGACGGGATTGAAAGTGGCTGGTCTGATACATCCTTTCCCCCTCTCATCACCACTGTTTGCCTCTTGTTCCCACCAGGACTCTTATGCTCGCTATTTAAAATCTCCAATCTATAAAGAAATGCTGGCCAAAGCTATTGAGCCACAGGAAACCACCAAGAGAAGGCAAGTGGGGCTTCTGTAATTGCTGGCTGCCTGCTGTTCACTTGAGAGGCATGAGGGCCTCTTCCAGCCAAATGGCTACCATCGAGATATTTGCTTGGTGATAATAAGGACTGGGAAGAACTGCACAGTGCATGAATGCCTTGCTTGCTTTATAATGTCCCGAGATCACTCTAGTAAGGTTCCCTAAGTAAGTGCCTCCAGTACGTTTTGTTTCCTTAATTCTGGTTCTAAGGGTTCTGATTATCAGACCCATAATTATGAATACTGCAAATGGAAATATCTCATTAAAAAAAATGCTCCACTTCTCCACCTCCAAATGGATGAATGGGAATTAACTTAGGTGCACCTTCATATCTCTGTTGTTCCAACTGAGGGAGAATGGGAAATTACACCCCAAGAGAAAATGCTAAATGGTTAAGGGAAGTGAACAGTAATACCCCATGCATCCCTGCTGCCTTGGGGACTACTTTTTAGAAGTCCATTAACTCTTTGTTGGCAGTGTCCATCACCTCATTTTATAGATGAGACACTTGGGGTAACGGATGACATCATGTTCCAAGGAGCAAACTGAACTCCTCGGGGCGGGAGAGACTCTAGAGGGATTGAACATTTAAAAGAGTAACAGCTTGAACAAAGTCGTGGAACTCTGGCAGAGGTTTTGCAAAATAGTCATCCATGGGTCCTATCCCCCATCCCCCATGGCTAATAAATGTTCCTGTTTGTTCAGTCCATGCTGGGCCTCTTTCCAGCTGTTTCAGTCAATTCAAAAGGGGCAGGAGTGGGGAGTGAACCAGAGTCTTTATCAAAGGCACTTAAGAAAGAATATTCTAACTTGGTCTCCTTCTTGAGGATAATGACCCTGTTATGAGCAGGAGAGAAAGGAGGCCTTTGTAGTATGTTCTAGGTTTACAGAGTAAGGGAGTGCAGTGTCCCCAGGAACTTGAAAACTTCTCCATTAAGCCACAAGAAAGGGCTGTAATAGGTCCAGAAGTTCTGCCAAACAGGAGTGGGCATGGGAGGTTGGGTGTCTCATGTATCTGTCCTAATGTTTTATAAGTTGGGGGCAGACATGGGGATTCAGCTGGGGTTCTTCTTGGGCACAGTTGGGGTGTCAAGTGCCTTGGGTGATAAAGACTCCTGCTGGAGAACTTGGCTTTGGCAAGGGGCATTTCAGTCTCTGGATTCTGTGGTCCTGGTTATAAGTGAGAACCACCTGCAAAAGCTTGTATAGTATCAAGTTTGACTTGATTCAGGTGGGGATTGCAGTGGGTATGAATCTGTTTCACAACTCACAGGAATTAAAAAGTTACTAAAACCTAAGGTGCATACCTCCCCTTGGTGAGAGCCTGTGAGACACCCAGTGTCTGAATTACTTTTTGGTAGGGAGCTTCTGTCTCTCTAGTGTAGAAACACGAGCTCTAGAGGCTCACATAGGTCAGAAATTTGGGGTAGACTCTGAATCTTTAGCCTGCTGAAATGCTTTCTTCCAAAGCCCACATGGGCCCTTGAGACAGGTGTCTCAGCTACTCACCTTCCTGCATCCCTCAAGCTCCTCAAACCTGGTCTTGGCTCCTAGAACGTGGTAGAGAGTTTGGTCCCAGGAATCCATGCTTGACTTTGGAAGAAGCTTCATCCTGAGATATGGTACATGGGCTGGGTACCACCAGCACACCTCTCCTCTGAAGGCCCTTTCCTTAGGGCTGGGCTCTTTTGGATGACTCAGCTCTTTCCTTCCCAGTCTCTCCCCCCTCCTCTCTGGTGGGTGTGTATTTTCCTGTGTGTGCACTGGTGAGTGCACATGTATATTTGCTTGCATGTGGAGGCCAGAAGACAACGTTAGTTATTGTTCCTCAGGTGACCACCTACATTAAAATATATATTTATTATTTTTATTTTATTTGTATGAGTGTTCTGCCTGCACATATGTAAGCGCACTTGTGTTGTGCAACACCTGCGGAGATCAAAAGATGGCCATCGAATTCCCCTGGAACTGGAGTTACAGATGGTTGTTAGCCACCATGTGAGTGCTGGGAACTGAACCCAGGTCCTTTGCAAGAGCAGTCAGTGCTCTGAGCCATCTCTCCAATCCCCACATTTTTTTTTTTTTGAGTCAGGGTTTCTAATTGATCTCGAATTCACCAAATGTATGAGACTGGATAACTAGTGAGCTCCAAGGATCTATCTGTCTCTGTCTACCCAGCTCTGGGATTACAATCATGCATCACCACACTGGCTTTTTTATGTGGGTTCTGGTGATAGAGCTTGGGTCTTTATGCTTGCAAGGGAGCTATCTCCACACCCCTGTACCTTGACTTTTGAAAACATGCTCTGACTGTTGACTTGCTCCTGAGATTCCAAGCTCTTGAGCTCCCATAGCCCAAACCCCCAGTTCCCTTTTCTTTGAAGTTCTTGCAGAGTATTAAGATAACAACTTGATTTCTAAACACTGTAGAAGTTGTGTTTGTTATCATCATCATCCAAAGAGTCTTCCTTGTGCCTCACCTGAAATCTGGTATTCACTCTGTCCAAGCAGGCAGAAAAGAGCTAAGGCTGGACGTGGTTCTGAGGCCCTGCTTGAAGTTCTCTGGGAAAATAAGGGAAGAAATCCAGATTCTGACCTTCTAAGCCCAACTCCCACAGGCATGACAGTGTCACTGAGCAAACAGCGTGGTTTCCACCAACCATCAATCTGTGCTTCCTTGCAGCTCTACCCTCCCGTTTATGCGGCGTCACCTGCGTTCTAGCCCGAGCCCCGTTGTCTTGAGGCAGCTTGAAGAAGAAGCCAAAGCTCGTGAAGCTGCCAACACGGTGGACATCACCCAGGTCATGAGCAGGCTGGACCGTAGGAGCCAACTCAGAAGGGAGCTGCCTCCTCCTAAATGAATTTCTGATTCTGGGTGGGAGGTGTATGCATTTGGGAGAGGCTAACCAAGAAAATAGGACCAACATCTAGAAGATCCCATTCTCCATTAGTGGAACAGTAGGGTCAAGAGGTTTCCCAGTAGACTTCCCAGTCCTAGAGCCACATGAGCTCGCTCACTAAGGGGCAGCGTTGACAATGGTGAAGGGTTATTGGCTGACTTAGTGGAGGATCCACTTGTATTGCTTTAGGGAGATCTTATAGAGAGAACCATGGGGAAAACAGGCTGTAGTGTGTTGTCACTACCTTTGGGAAATTCCCGAGAAGCCATCCTTCCACCCCCAAGGTGAACTACTTTCAGGGATGTTTGTTTAAAATAGCCTTATGAAGCTTCTCAGCCCACCTCTCTATGCAGATTCCACTTCTAAAATAATCCAACATCCCTCCACAGGGCTTGTTCCAAGGTCCTCCATGAAAGCACTTCCCTAGTCTCTCTCTGCTGTACCTGCTGAAAAGGCGTTGTTAGGGTACTTTTCCCACTGAGTTGATTCTTAGCTATAATGACCTCTTTTCTGTCTATCTTCCTATCCCCTTGCATATAATGTCTGGTTAAGAACTTGGAGGATGAAAAACTTACAGTAGAGAGGGCCAGGAGGAATGGCTCTCTGAGGGGTAACTTTTTGGCTAAAGAACAAAGGCACTGATACTTGCATTGAGGAGGAAGGATGGTGGATGTCAGGTGTCCTTTTTACAGTGTCTTCTAGCTGTTAGCACCACCCTCCTCTACAGACATGGACTAGGCTATCTCAGTGCTCAGGGGCAGAGGGAGAGGACAACCCAAACCTCGACTCTGAGGCCTCAAATGTTAGTCTTGAAGATAAGCAACCTCTGCACACCCATATGCAAAAGAGAGGATAAAGAAATGTGCAAGGATAAGCCTTCTAGAGTAGGAACACTCACACATTCTGTACATTTATTTGGTACCTACTGTGTGCAAGGCATTGGTGAACAAAAACAATATTATTCTTCCCTTATAGAACCTGTAGTCTAGGACTGACAGAAGTAATGATGCTATCAGGGACCTGTGGTTGCACAGCACTCAGCACAAACTAGAGAGGCACCCAGCAGCAGACACTTATTCATGCTTACGAGGTCATCCCTATAAATCTCTGGTTCTTGGCTTGGGTCTCTTCTCTGTCTGGGGATTGGTCCACAAAGGCCTCATCTGGGATGAATGGGATGGGTCTTCTCAGCCTCATGTGCCTCTTATCTTACAGCAGCCTGGCCTAGGCATGGTCCTGTGCTGATGGCAGAAGTCTAATGGAGAAGGTAGAAATGCATAAGACCTCCCATGAGCTCTTCTACCTCATAGCATTGGCCTGAGATAGTCACAAGCCTTCCTAGAGTCAAGGAGTTGGGAACTAGGACTGGGGATGTAGCTCAGTGGGGAGAATATTTATGTAGCATGCATGAAGCCTTGGGTTTGATCCTCAGCAATATATAACACCAGATCTGATGACATAAGCCTGTAATCCTAGCACTTAGGAGATGGAGGCAAGAGGATCAGGAGTTCAAGGTTCTCCTTGAGTATATAGCAATTCCAAGGGTAGCTTGGGCTGCATGAGACCCTGTCTCGAAGAAAAGCAGTAGGGAAATAGATTCTATTCTTTTTGGTAACAATATATCAAAGTATTTTTGCAAAATACATGGATGCAGGGAAAGGTACAGGTCATGATTGTAACTGGTAACACAAACAAATATATGATAAAACTTGTTATAAATATGAATATGAGATAAAGGAAATGGGTATGATATTGTGATAAGGAAAGCGGGTTTCATGTAGATTATGCCTCTTTGAAGAAGTGACAGAGAAACAGAGGATGAGAAAGAAGTGTCACAGGATGTGGGCCAAGCAGAGAGTGTCCTATGGAAAGGGGAACTGTGAGGGAAGCTTCATGAGTCACCCTGAGATGGCGCCAACGGTTGTGCTTTGTTCATTTTTCTTTCCAAGAATGTTAGAGTCCCCAAGCTCTGGAAGACACCCCTAACAGAAGTCTCAGTTAATGGACTATTATAAACAGATTGGCAGAAGGAGAGAGACCAAATCAGTCTCTTTACTTAGCGTCTAATGCCTAAAACCTAGTAATTCCTGCACATGTATGCTACATAGATGGATGAATGAACAAATGAATGAGTGAATGAATGGATGAATAGATTGATGGATGAATGGATGGATGAATGGATAGATGGATGGATAGATGGATGAATGGATAGATGGATGGATGGATAGATGGATGGATGGATGAATGGATGTAAGGACAGATGGATAGATGTATGCATGGATGGATGAATGGATGGATAGATGGATGGATGGATGAATGGATGTAAGGACAGATGGATAGATGTATGCATGGATGGATGAATGGATGGATAGATGGATGGATGGATGAATGGATGTAAGGACAGATGGATAGATGTATGCATGGATGGATGAATGGATGGATAGATGGATGCATAGATGGATGCATAGATGGATGGATGGATGAGTGGATAGATAGATGGATAGATGGATAGATGGATGAATGGATAGATAGATGAATGGCTAGATGAATGAATGGATAGATGGATGGACAGATGGATGGATGGATGGGTGGATGGATGGGTGAGTGAGAAGAGCTCTGGATTCAGAGAAGCCTCCTGAGCCCTGGTCCCAGCTTTAACACTAGCCACGTGGTCTTGAGCAAGTCACAACCCTGTTTCTTACTCATTTGTGAAAAGAGGAATTGTCAGAAGATTTATTCTCATATATTGTGTATTTCAAGGGAACAGAATTAGGATCTTGATTTTTCTTGAATATTTAAAATAGGAGAAAATTTAGGTAATTAAAAAATTTTTAATTTAAAACAACCATAAATATATTATGAAATAGAATGCAAAATGTGCATGAATTTTTAAGGCTGAAGTTTGAGACATCAAAGGCATTTCATGCTTGGCTGTGTAGGTTTACAGTCTACCTCCCCAAATGCCTGGGGCCCATGTTTACCCAGCTCTCCTGCTGTTTGCCTGCTTTAGTGGGAAAGATTGAGAAGCAGGAAACCAGAGAATGTTTGTTGACCCTGCTATTTACACCAGGCGAGCTGCCATTATGTACCCAGCAACACAGAGGACAGAGTGGTGGAAGTGTTGAAGTCGTTGTTAATTCTTCAGGACACTGACTAGGTCCTGTTCCTCTTTGGCCCATCCATCTGTCACTCCACTTCCCCCATTTGTGTCCCTCATGACTCTCATTCTCCAAAAGTAACAGTGTGTGGTGTCAAGCACATGCTAGATTCTCTCCCACATAGATGGAAATCGACTCATGGGAGAGGCACAGGATCCCACGATCAGTGAGAGTCACAGGTGTATCAACAGTAGGTAAGCGTTCTCTGTTCAGTGGATGAATGAATAAGGGTCTCAACATCTACTCAAAGGAAGGTACAGGGCAAGCGGCTTGGCTCTGACTGGCAGCAGTTATGTTTTACACATGAATTTTAAAGGTTGAATTTTGTACGAATCAATAGAGGAGCTACAGGGGCTACAGAAATGGACAAGGCAGCCTCTTCAAGACTGATAAAGGTGCATGGGTGCAGATGGTTATAACTCAAGGCAGAGTGGGGTAGGACCTGGGCCATATGCACCATGTGAGAAGAGCCTGGGGTTGGGAGAGAACTGTTTGGCCTAAGAGATCAAGAGAAGCTTTGAGGAGGAGACATGTCTGTGGTAGTCTGGGAGAACAAGTTGTCCTCAGATAGAGACTGGGGAGTGGATACTAAAGGTTATATGAGTGGAGCCCAGGCAGGGCTGTCACTGTCTCAGACAGTGCTTGTGGGGTTAGAAAATGTTGCCTCACATAGGCAGACACATCTAGCCTTGTCACTTAGCCAGCAGCCCCTGAATGGGCCGTTCATGTGATGTACATTTGCTCGCATGACTATTTGGGGCACAGGGCACACAATCCATGAAGCAAATCTGGAAGAACTCATTGAAGGTGATCATGGAAGGTCATAAGCTGCAAAAGAGCCTTGGTCTTCAGACTAACACTGGGTGTTAGGAAGAGGGTCCTGGCAGTATAGTAATCTTAGTTACCACACCCTAATTCACCCCTAGCTGGTTGAGACAACCCCTTTCTGGCTATCCTTGTACCCTGCCCATGCCTCTGTCTACACTGTATTAAAACACTAAGTCTATGTATAGTATGTGTTCCTTCTCCTTCCTCCATTGGGCTATACAAAAAGAAGGGCCCATGTCTGGGTCAGCTTGTCCACTGGACTGGCATGCAGGTAGTACTCTCTGTGTTTGATGGATTTCAGCAAACTAGCTGAGTTGAGGACAGAAAATGGATTGAGAAGTTGGTACTCTGATCCCCATAAAAGGAATGTCTGCATTAGGAAGGTGGTGTTGGACTCAGAAAGAAGAAGAAACACATTGGAAGTAGAGGGGATAGGGTCTTATCAGAACAGGGTGATGGGGGGAGAAGACCCAGAAACTTTGAGCCCCTAAAGATAGGGGTAATGTTAAAGAAAGTTGTGGACTATGAAAAGGAGTTGTGGGTAATGGTTAGGGAGGTACCAGGAAAGATGTGTAGTCCTAGGTGGAAATGCGAACACTGCTGATGTAGTTCGTATCTACTGAGATCCTTTGTCTCAAACAGATGAGGCTACTGGGTCTTAAAGGAACTTTAAGTGGCAAACACATGGTGTAATTCACAGACAGGAGATACCAGAATGCTCATAGTGTTACAAACAGAAGGGAGGATCATGTCAGGGAGGAAGTGATTGATTCTATCTGGAGCCATCAAGGAAACTGTATCGCAAAGATTTCATAGGGGATGTGGTTCAGTAGCTAGAGTGCTTGTCTAGTGCATCTGAAGCCTTGGGTTTGATCACCAATACCACATAGCTTATCCTTGGTGGCAGGAGGACCA